ATGTCATAATTCGGTTAAATTAGTTCTGAGATAATATAATAGCTAAATTATTCTCAGATCCATGACGTATATCATATTACAAAAATCCACTCTGGCTCCCTACCAGTTCCATGACACTCTTCAGGAACTATTATGGCGCTGAGATATTTCTCAAATCACGATTCTCAAAATCATAAGATGATCAGCTAATCAGATTCTGTGTAGCACTTAAGCCACCGTTATTATTTGATTAATTATCTCAAATATCTCTAATATATCATTTGATTTTTTCCCATAAAACAATCTCTACCCCTCACACTGATTTTTCACCATGTAAGATGTCTTCTGACAAATGAAACGGTGCTCAGGTTCACTTCCTTATAAATGAAAGAAAAGAAAGAAATTCTGAATTCCACTTCACTCCAAATAAAAAGAAACGTCTCTTTTGGAAAGATATCACTAGGAAGTTAAACGAGCAAGAGAATACAAATTATTACACTAGTGAGGAATGTCAAAAGAAATTCAATAATCTCAAGAAGGCTTATAAAGTAAGTACCTCTTGCTTAGCTCTACGAAGAATTTGACTGATAATATTCTTATTATTGTTATTTATTAGACAACCATAAAATATAAAAAGGGTAGGAAAAAAAGGAGTTTAATAGGAGAGGAAATCTATAAGGAGTTTTCTAGTGAATTTTGGTTAAAGCCTGGTAACTACACTTTTGAGAATTTGATGCTTCTCAGTCACCAGTGATCTTTATTAATATTGATATATTTTAATTCTGCTAGATCTTCCATTCGAACGAACACATAATGAGAGCATTAGGAGGTTAAGTGAAGTGACCTCATCATCATCTCCTGTAACATCAAGATCACAAACAACATCATCTAAAACTATCGTAAATACACCTGTTTCATCAAGACCGGTAACACCATCTATTGAAACATCTGCGATCTTTAAGCCAATCACATCTACCCTCCCTTCATTTTCACAAAGTGCTAATGTCATCAATATAACCATTAATTACGCTGGTGAAAGGTCAAACAAACAATAACAGGAATAAGATTTTTTTACGTTAGTAATAAAATAACATTTAGCAATTTTGTATTTTTCATGTGTAAGTGTATTGTAATACTACTTAAAAATAAAAAATGGAAGTATTTTTATTGTAAATTGGCTGGTCAACCAAAAAAGCTAAATGCTCAAACTGTGTACAAACTGCAGTTCAATTCCAGTTTCAAAGTCACATGTTATGCAGATATCCATTCCGTGATTTTGAGTGTTGATCGAACTGCACAAAATCAAGATTAGATTTGTGCGATGTCAGAACTCACATTACGAGATGATAGGCCCTTTTCTTAAAGTTAATCTAACTATATATGGCATCACAATTATTTTTCGGGTGCACTATCACATATGTAAAAAACATTAGTTCAGATATAGATAAAAAATAGATGCTTTATTATATGCGTAATGATAATCACGCTTTACAATACTATATATAAAAAAAGTGCTAAACTTTAAGAAGAGGACATTGTGTTCTGATCTCAGAATTCAGGTATTATATGATCGAAAAATCTTGTGAAGCACCTTTCGCTTAATTTTGTCTAGTATTCTTCTTAATCTGAGATGCAACATATTTGATATTATCATCGCTTAAATTTGAAATAGATGTCGCTGAAAACGTTTTTATTCATTGGATTAGTACCATCTTTTGAATTTTATCATCACTAATACGAAAGAAAAGATCATAAATCTTCCTCGCCTTGTCTGATTTCTTTCGTACAGCACATTTTGTAACCTCTTTTGGGAGCTGATCTTTAACTTCATTATAGAGCTTCTTTGATGCTTCATGATCCTCGCAAGTCTTTCTATAGTAGGCAAGGCTTTTCTCTATCTCCTCCCTGAAGTAATAGTATGTAATAATAACTTTATGGCGTGCCTTTTCGTTCTGCTCTTCAGCATTGGAGATTTTTAAATATAAGTCAAAAAGAGTTCGATCTTTCTTAACTTCTTGTACAGCTTCTTTATGAAGTCCTCTCTTTTTCTTAATCTCAGAAAGTCGAGTAGTGTCAGAAGATAACTCTCAGATAAGTTTCTTTAAAATATTGGAATTCTCTGGTCAAACATTTTCCTTAGTTTTCTTGTTAGTAGATGAGTCTGTAGCTTTGTTAACCCGTTTCTTACTGCTAGCATTAGGCTGAGTTGCTAATTCTTCCTCTTCATCAACAATGGTATTCACGTCCATTTCTTGATCAGGTTCTTCCAGAATCGTTTCAGTTGTATTAATTTGGAGTTGCTTTTCCATTATACCAACCACTGATAACGTACTAGACTGTAAATCTCGCCTATTGTTAACTTCAGGAGAATCATCAACAATTATCTCAACATTCTTCCCACAATCAGGGGATAGACACATACCAGTCGAAGTATGTAAAAGTTTTATCTCAATGCAAAGTCTATGAAAAATATAGTCACAACTAAGTACTGTGAATGCCTTGATAGGAAGCATTAGGATCTCGTTATTACACTTTGAACATGGTCACAGCTTCAGAACTTCCATATCTTTAACTGATTCATCCTTGAGATTTTTTAAGATGTTATAAGCAAGATTCTTAAGACTGTTTAAAGACATGATCAAATACAAAACATATGCGAGACACCTCCGCATATCCAATATTTTTATAAAGAAAATTTCTCCGCAGTTCATCGCTATGATTGTCGCAAAACATGAAAGTCGTTGACAATCCTATTTTCTAATAATTAGCTGATCCTGAATTTTGAAATTAAGCTGTATTAACATGCAGGTCTCTTATCAATCAATAAAGTCAAAATATTAGCATTTATAAATGTATCATTACTGGTCAGATAATCATACATGAAAAATTAAGTGATATACTTCTTCATTTTTTATTTGCAATACATTGAATAAATACAAAGGTAAGACCGAGAATTGTTATAAATCAACCATATACTGTAAGTCTGATTTGCTGTAACGGATTTAGAACGCGAATATCTCGTCAACCAATGACCCAATTTTGATAAGGATTGAACGTCTGGATTCGGCCGGTTCTGAAATTCTATTATCTCATATTTCGTGAAATTCCGATCACTGGATGCAGAGTTATTTCGATAAATGTAAGGTCAATTATTTTGGATATAACCACATCCTTTGTACCTTCGGTACTGCAGGAGAAATATTAGTAATTTTACCCTTTTGTTTTTGCAAAAGTTAGCCTACTCTAATTAACATGTTTTAATAATATATTCAGATACCTTTTCTTTTTTCGAACTTTAGTGAGAAAAAATTGGGAATCTTAGAAAGACCACATTGCCAAAGTGGCGTGTGAAATGTTGGTGACCTGGCAACCTACAAAATACTAGTTTCCGGTTCTGGGAACCTAAAGGAGGTGAGAAATTAGTAGGTTGTTATGTAAGAATTCATAGCTACCCAGTGAATCCCAAAATGTATTATTAGTACTATATGAGTATTGAAAATTCATTCGCCTACGAAACATGCTCCAGCTATTGTAGAAACTTCAAACCAATTCGACCAGATGCAGGACATCGAGAGCTTCAAAACAAGCCAAGGTGTGAAGTATTTGGATCACAGGAAGCCAGAATAGCTTTGGCAGTTGGGAAACTTTACTGTATCACATCATGGGTTAAAAGTTAATTATCAAATCATAGATCAAATTTACGTAATGCAACTGCAGAACCGGATGCTACGATCATCACAAAACATGGAACAAATATGGCAACTCTAATGTCTATTAATTGATTCAGCCCTTTTTCTCATATTTATTCGAAAAAAGATAAACTCCGCTTTCTCATAAATTCGAAGCCAGAAAACCCTGTCTTCTCAGGGACCTAGCATGGTTGAGCGACAAGACGCTCAGGAGAAATAATTCCTAACACTATTCCGGGCAGATAGGATATGTCCTGCAGATGCATAGCATCAAAGGGTGAAAATAAACCTATATGATAATTCTGTTTACAATCCATCTAATAATTCTCCTAGCCAGATACCGGAGATATAATAGGACTCATCATTGGTGAGGTTTTCCTTTCACCCATCATGATAATAGTAACCGCTATCATATCCACTGTTTCCATTATATCTATCTTACCCATCATCATCTGAATCGTTTGGCATCTCTTCTTCAGAATCATTATCGTGGCTACAGTCACTATCATCATCTACCACATCTGGTATCTTTAGAATCTTTTCATTCGTCTCTTTCAGAGGTAAAAGAGGGAGAAGGATTGGATCTTTTCTCTAAACATAGTATTCTGTCATAGACGTTTTAACTGGTCACTCAAAGATGGGTATACAGTACACATTGGAGTTGTCGAAGGCAACGTAGTGCAGGGTAGTGACAGTATCTGCACTATAAGGGTCAGTTGATTTCGGAAGCTATGAAAAGGGTGGAGGGTTGCTAAAAATCGTTGGACCGTATCATATCTGCCTTCTATGCGAAGAGCTGGCTAATTTAGAATGAATAGATATTCAGATTCTGGGCCAGTGGGTCAGGCTCTGTACTAGTACAATTTAGGATATAGATTTCCGCTACTTGACTAGTGCTTAATCTCGTAACTAGAAGTTTGGATTCTCTTGCTTTTCTAGTTATCTGAGCGTGATGCATAGTTCAGAAAAAACCCTTAACGATCCCAATAATTTACACCTTAGATCTGAGAAGACTGTCGCATTCAGCGGGCAAGTTATCCCAATATATTTCCAATACCATAGTTCACTGAAGTGGATAGACTGTCGCGTTCTGCAGTCAGTTATCCTGTATACTTCTTTGCAAAATATCATTCCTATCATACTTCACGCCTCTTGATTAAGCCCGTATATTGCCTTGCTAAACATCTTATTTATCATTTTCTCCAAGCCAGCTCGCTGGGAGAGCTCTCCATCCACTACGCCTACATTTTACTTATATTCTAGATAGGATCTAGATTGTCATGCTCAATGGCTTTCATATCGTAAGAAGGGTTGTCAGCGTGGTCGGATCCTCAAGTTGATCTTTAAGATTCTAGGCCAGTGGATCGAACTCCGTGCTAATCAATAAGGAAGACAATCCTGCTAGAGTACCTGACTAGCGCCCTAAACTGTCATGTGGTATATGTTATAATCCGTTTTTGTGCCTCCTCATACTATAATATGGGACAATTGCAATAGAAAGGGGGAAACTGCCAGGAAAAATTAATTTTACTTTATATGCCAAATATGATTTTTATGCTGAAATATGTTCAAATTTAGCATTAACTCACTTTTGATTTTTCTAGCTGTTTCCTCCCTTTCTATTGCAAAGGCCCCATATATCTATACCCCTTTTTGTGATATATTTCAGTCTATACTGAGTATTTTTCTTGGCAAAAGTGCTCGGTGTGTTTTCCCTTACCTGAGGTAAATGAAAGTTTACCAAGAAAAGATGATTAAAATAAATGAGAAGTCAGTTACTAGGGCTAAGTAGTACAGTGGAAAAATTACAAAAATTGTGTCCTAAAACAGATGCTCTGACTAATGTAGGTCCAAGTGGTTTAGCATACTTGAAAAATGGCTTGCAGACCTTTTCATAATCTTGACATCCTGGTACGAGTATTGTAAATTTTTTCAAAAATTATCAACTAGGAAGTTCAGCATATAAAACATATATATTTTCGATTTCTTTGTCCCAATCATTCTTATGAGATGAATAGATTGATTTTGTAATGGATTTCCATTTTTCAGTAGGTTCAGAAGGCATTTGATTATTAATTATATCCTTATATCTTTTCATGCCAATATGATATTTTTTTACACATAATGCGACTTGCATTTGGAATATTGCTTGAGGCATTTCTAATTTCTTCGATAGCTTCAGGTAATAATGAAGTGGCATTTGCTCTTAAAAATTTTCTACACATTTTTAACAATCATCAGTAATTTTTAATATACTCCCTAATCCACTTTTCAGCCAATTTCTGCGCTAAGGCATTTCTTATTTTTGATACCTCATCTTCATCCATTTCATCTTCATCCTCTTCATCTTCGTCCAGGTCATCTTCATCTACTACAATATCATCCACTTTATTGTCACCTGCTTTATTACAATCTTTTTACCTTTTTAAGGCTTTCAGCACAATTTCAGATGATGGCTGGAATAATTCATCATAGTTAATAAATCGTGCACAGAGGCTGACAACACTTTTCAGATAATAGCTAATATCAATTTTTTTACTAAGTCATCTTGCTACTTCTGGGTACTCAATTTTATCCCTTACTCTTTCTGATAAATTATTCTCAACCATAACATATTCAAAGCGCTCACCTGGTTCTGAAATTTAATAAAGATAAGGCTTGGGTGTTAGGCCCTTTTTTATGAGCCGTTTGGCGTCTGCCTTTTCACAGGTATGTCTATCTCGCATTCATGAAATGAAGCGCTGTACACTCTTGTTATCTTTATCGGGCTTCCACACAGTAGTTTTAATTATTTCATTATGATCTGTTCGAGAAATATCCTTTATGGTTTCCCTAAGAACGTCCTCTATAATTTGATATAAGGTACGCAAATTATTTACCTTCATAGATTCATCCATAATATGCCTTCCTACTTTGCGGAAAAGGCTTGATTGTCCCCGCTTTACAATCTCAACTCCTCAAATGAAAAGCTTATTATCAAAATTGGGCTATCTTCTATGTGAAATGCCGTAGTATTTTTTCTTTCCAGTAAATACTACTGGAAATAAGACTTTCTCATATACCATTTTGAGATAAGATGTTCCATTATCATTTCTGAGAAAGACTTTAACTTCATCGTGAAGTCTTTCTATTTCTTTTATAGAGATATTCACCATTCTAGACCAATATTCTTCTTTCAAGATCCCATTACCACTGTCATATGCCTCATCACATTCCTGAAAGCACTCTTCTAGACATACAAGATATAAGAAATCTGTATCCAATATTTTACACTGAATTTTTTACTTCTGAAAAGGTCGGCAATAAGCTTGATATTCTACTGACCAGCTGATGTAACCCCACCTGCTAATGCTTGCAAGAAGAAAGGAGACCTGCTATTCCCGACTTCATCGTAAAACGTATTCATATATACTTTTAAAGCAAGTTGTTTTGTGTCTAGACAGGCATCATTGAAGCAAACTGAAGAGTATTCAGATTTTAAACCATCTGTAATATCCTCACTCTTTGCTTCCGCCAAACTAATCTCCTTTTCTAATTCTTCTTTTCTATCATTTAATGGAGCCAGACGTCTTTTTAAAGCATTTCGTCTAATAAGCAACTCCTCTAATACTTTTAGATAAAAGCTTTTCATTTTAGCTTGGTTTCCATGCTCTATAGATTATATGAGAATATCGTGACCATTAAATTTGAAATTAATTTCATGAAGCTTTTTACCGCTTTTCTTTAGAGTTTCGGCATGCTCTCGAGATAAAATGATTTTATCAGGTGAAAAATTGTATGTCATGATAAGGCTTGGGTATAATAATGCAAAGTTTAAGCCGGTTACAGGTCGTCTATTTTCAAGACCCTTTACTGGTGGGAAAATATAGGCTTCAGGGTATTTTTCTGTTTCTGTCTGTTCACATGAAATTGTACTGGTTAAAATTCCTTCCTGCCACACACTGGCACTTAAAAGATTACGCACTTTCATTCCTATTGCAAAATAATGCGTATTGAATAATGATATAAATGCTATACTCGTAACCTCCCTATATTCATTGATTACATTACGCTTGACCATTAACCGCTGATAGCTAAGAGCATCGATAATGCAGTATTTGGCCACTTCACGCATCTGCTCAGCCGTTGTGGCATTAGTTTCTTTTAATGCTCTTTCATAATATTTGTTCATGTGATAAATAGGTAAATCCACTTTGTTGTCAAGATTACACTTCCTTAAGTAATATGCGAGACTACTTTTTTCGGCTTTTCCTTTCTTCAGCTAATTTTTTTAGCTGTATTACCATGTTCTTTACAGGCATTCAGTCAACTTTATTTACATTTCCTGTTAAAAAAACCTTCTAAGTAAGTTTTCATTGTCATTGATATACATTTTCCAGTACCTCATTGATCATATTTATGATTACTTTTGAGCGTCCATCCACTTTCTAATGGAAAATTTTCATTTGCATCTATAATAATTATAGCCTTCAATGATTTATTCCTATAGTATTACTGTATTACAATATATACTATAATAGAATACCTATAGGATGATTTATACTTTTGAAAGTGATAGTCTTATTTGATTTATCTGCAATATTTACAAAAAAAAATTAGGTTTCTTACATTAAATAAATAATCAAAGCATTTATTATCTTACCTTTAGTTCAAATAATGGGAAATTTTATATTGAATTTGGTTTGGTATAGGCAGAGATATTAGGAGTTGGCTTATGTAAAAGTTCTTTGATCAACTTCAAAATGTTAGCTGAAAAATAATGTGTCCATTTACTATACATGGTAAGGTCTGAGCCTGAATATAGCTGGTAAATAGTCTTTCAATCAGCTATTTAAAATGTGATAATTTGGTAATGCTGGATATTGTTTTAACAGGCATGTGATTATGTTTTAGTTCCAAATGAGTAATAATAGAAGTTTCACTCAAATTCTTTATAGCATCTTCTATTTTCTCACCACTATCTAAATTATAACCAACTCTTATGTATCTTTTGATAGAATGTGAAATCTAGAAGGTAATTATTTTTAGCAGAAAAAATTCAAATACAATAAGCTCTTACTAAATAATAATTATACTTTTCTTTTAAAATATACGCCAAATTTTGGATTTTTAGTTGGTTTTTCCTTCAAGATATCTAAATTTACACAAGCCTATTATCTTGTTCAAGGTAAATTCAAGATAGATATTTATAGGAGAAACAAGTTATTCCTCTTTTTAATGAATCTTACCTACGCGTGATGTGAATCAATGCTAGTTTTTACCTTTCCAGGTTCAAGAAAGTGCCATCTACAAATATCAATATTATACTATTAATTCCAATTTCAATAATGGTCATTAATTCTGAATTGTAATAATGTTCACCATTATTAGAGAAAATTTTGATTCATTTTGGTTTTGGATCTAGTATTTCAAAAATAGCATTAAAGGATGATGTGGTAAACCAAGCATCTTGCTTGATATCAGTAGAATAATAGTCAAATACGTATACAGTGAGACCTCTTTAAATGCATCCTCCCTAAATATACGCATATATATTTTTTCTATAAATGTACATTTCACACAGCCCCAAGTATATAAAGATCATATAAAATTTCTCTCTTTAAATGCACACCCTCCTTAAATGCATATTTTTTCAAATTTTCACTATAGTCCCAAGGGGGGAGGTCTCACTATATATCTAACTTCAAATCATTATGTTTTGTAAAAACCAAAATCATATGAAAAGTCCATCCTCATTTTTCAAAGAATTGCTCCTTAGTTTTATATACACTTTTAGGTAGAATCCTTATTTTGTAATTACATATTAGAATTGCATCATCTTTATCAAGATCTAATAATTTTGCTTTGAATTGATTATTCAGGTAAATTTTTCTTGCCTGGTAAGCAAGAAAATAGTAGAACTTATTTTATGACTCTTCGACTATAGTTCATAGATTTTCTGAAAGCATATCAAATAAATGTTCAATAATCACGAATAATTAATTACATGTGATGCAGCGGGTCTTATGTTTTTAGGTATACTCTCTAAATGCATAAATGCATATAATAAACAATAGTTAATTGTATCCGAATGTGATATTATACCATCTTCATTTATAACAAGTTCATTTTTGAATTCTCATTTTAGATGATGGCGTAACTTCTCTAGCTTATTCACTAATGTATTCTTGAAAAATAATTAGATTTAATTAATAAATTTATTTTATTAAATAAAACAATTTATAAATATTTAAAATTATATCCCTATAAATAATATGTATAAGGAAAGTATACAGAAATAATACGTTTAAAAATGTATAATAAACGTAAAAAAATAGTATAATAAATTCGTAAATATTTCCATATACTAGATACTGAAAATTGTTTTTTTCCGTATGCAAAAAAATACTGAATTTATATGTCTAATCAATATAATGTATACGTAATTTTTGTTAAATTTTAT